TCCAAAACCTTTCAACTGGAGCACCGTTTTTTACATAACGAAAAACAATGACCATTTGAAATTTCATAGAAACATCCGTTGTCTCATCAGCTATCACTGCTAAAAATGGGGCTTCATTGATTTCGTTTAAAATCTCCTCAGCGTATACTTCTAGCATGCAATCCAAAATATCATTTTGTATTGTTTTTGAGGTACCTTTGAAAATTGTCGCATTTGTAAGGTGTTCACTAAGTGTTTTATCAAGTTCAGCAGAAAAATTCACTAAACCACGAAAAATTCCAGGGTTATCTGATGTTTCAGATTCATCGTGTCCTCGTAAGGCGAGCTCAAAAGCCCCACAGAATTTTATACAGTCAATTATTTTTGACAAAACATACCTGTTTTTCGTCACCTCTTCATTGTGTTTTTGTATATTTATCCAATAAGCAGAGTCAAGTTGGGCCTGTATATTAAGTTTCCCAAATAATGCAAATCGCATTTCATTGTTCATATGAGTTTGCGTGTTTTCATGCTTCTTTATTTTTTCACTTAAATGCACTAGATCCCGCACTCCTGTCTCGCGCCACAATTTTTCCTCTTTATCTGCGCCGAATAATGCACACGGAAAACAGAAAAAAGCATTTTTTTCGGAACATCCACAAATCCACTGATTTCGTAGATACAGGTCTTTATTAAATTTACGCGTATATGTTTTTCCACGGCTTTTACCGGACACTTCAATATTAAGATCAGGCATAGGACGGCCACGTTCTTTTATAATCAACTGTTGTTGATAGTGAAGTTTTTGAAATTTATTTACACCTAATTTAAATTGAAACTCCATTGTTTTAAACACGCTCGAACAAAACAAATTAAACAAAATTGTAACCTAAGAATTTCTAAACACGGCACAGATGCAACGGTCACGAATAACTGTCGTGAATTGCAGCTCGCAAACACATTTCCGAGGCCGTTAATCAGCCGATTGCCGAAGCACATCGGCTAAGATCGCCGTTTGCCTAATAAATGCATTTTACCGCTGCCAGTGTTTCGGTTGTTATCGACGCGGCTTCACTGGAGCAGCAAATACGTAAAAAGATTGCTTCACTGGAGCACCAAATACGTAAAAAAATTATACGGTTTCACTAGAGGAGTAAATACGTAAAAAAAATAATATTAATCATCGTTGTTGGTGAATTATTATTAACAGTTTATGTTTAATATGATAATATGGCAGATTTGAAATAAAACTATATTAATTATTCTTTAATAATTAAGATTTGCTATGGTTGTTTGGTAGTTCTGCAGCTCAGCAGCACATAAAGAAAAGCCGCCACTGATTCTATTCTATTTCGAAGTTGATTTTTGAAATGATAATTTCTATTAATCAATGTAACATGCTGTAATATGCTATCAAATATTTATGCTATATGACACAGTTTTCAATTTCTCCCCAGAAAGATATTTAAAAAGAATAACTATTATTAAATTTAAGATAATGCAAATGCGTCATTATATGATGAATAGTTTGTAGAATTATTTTAAGATAACATTTATCTTGATTAGTAGATAATTTTGAATTTAGGATGTCTTGATTGATATTTTCTTGATACTAAGAAATATACAGTGAAAATCTAAAGAAAGCAAAAAAGCCTAAGTCACACACACTTCTAGTAAATCTTTAGATATAGTATATTCAACAATTATGACAAACTGATTGGTCTATAATTCTACAATTTGTGAAAAGGAAAAGACAGTTAAGATTTGATTTCACGTATAGCACGTCTGTGTATCCGCTTATACGTATTTCGCCCTAAAAGGGCTCTTCAGAACGGCCATTCACAGTCGCTCTGAACGTGAAAATAAATAAATTTGGTTTAAAAAATTAGTTTACGGATCTACAATTTATATTTATTTCCTTTTTTAAATATTAATCCCATAGTGGTGAAAACTATTTTATTAAAAGTAACTCCAGAAATCGAAAGAGTTACTATTTTTGTTGGAAATAAGCCACAATTTAAGTTTAAAATAAGTTTATTTTTGACGGTTTGATTTCCACTTCAAAAACGTCCTCAAAAACAAAACATTAATGAATTAAACAAATTTTCTTTTTTGTTACTTGGTCAAAAATTCTTCTTATAATTTAATTTCATCTGACTCATTTATATTGACAGAAAATTAAAAAAACATGCACGTTTTTAATCGGTTTTTCATAACTAACTCAAAAAATATTTTTTTGAGTTATTAACTAAATTAAAGTTTTTTTCAAAAAAGTTGTAATTACCAAAATTGAACTTAATAAAAAATCAAATAATTTTCTCACTTGAAAAAACCTTTTTAACAGTAACTCAAAGTGATAGATACGTAATTGAATGTATATAATATATATATATAATATATATATATATATATATATATATATATATATATATATATATATATATTTCTGTGAGTACTCAAATCCAAGTATTCACGCTTAAATAACTGGAAAACGATGCATTTTATAGAATATACTTACCGAACACTTTTTAAAGTACTCAAAAATGTCTATCAAATGGTGTCCAGAAGAAGTTTATAGCAATAAAATTAATCAAGTTATGACCCTTTCAAATAGGAAAACTGAAAAATAAAATTACGCCATTTCCAAAAAAAAAAGATAAAAAAATCAGTATTTTTCAAGTTTTCTTAAATTTCATTTTCTTTTGATAATAAATTGAAAATTCTTGATATAAGTATAAAATGATACTACACGAAATTTAAGTTTTTTTTAACAAAGATTTTATTTTTGTAAGATAAAAGATAATCGAGATAGAAACCTAAGCCTAAATTTTACTGCAAAAACTATGTAACCGGGGCCCTTTAACCTTTTATCCTTAAAAAATAAGGGATTGAAAATCTATAATATTATAGCCCTTGTAATAACCTTTCAAATGGTTTTTAGATGAACCTGATATAATAAAAATTAACGGAGATATTGGAAAAAAACCAATAACATTTTTTGAAAAATTTTTGGACCAACGATTTTATATGTATATATAAAAAAAAATAAAAAGGAGACGTGTCGATAGATTTTGCTTTAAGTGGATGTTTTTTGAGGGTTAAAAATCACTGTTAACCAAAAATTATATCATAAACATTTAACAAACTGTTTGTGTAATGTTAATATCAGATTTTATATTTCAGAAATATAAAAAAATATTTATTCATGATTTTCAATTCAAGGGGTGGTTCCTAAAAGTGTTGTAAAATTAATTAAAATCATAAATAATGCATGTAAATGTTGAAACATATTTATTTAATTTAATTAAATAAGATTACTTACGCCAGAATATTTAAATCTTCATTTTTTACCATTTTTAACAAAAGGGGTGGATTTTACCCCTAAAATGCAAAAAGCACAAGTCGAGCATATGTGACTCTTAAAGTTAAGGGTAAAATATTTTTATTCCTAAATTTTTATGCAAAACGGTGACGGTTGCTGAAATCGGAGGTAATAGTTGATTTTTCCTTGATTCACTGTACTATAAGGTCTCGGTTGTGTATTAGCTGTTGCCTCTTTTATTATATCTTATGTTACTATTAGTAACATACAAATGCGGAGGACCAGATCTTACCAAACAACTATTAAAACTAATCCAAAAAATAATAGAACAAAACAGAATTCCTCAAGAATGGAGATCAAGCGTGTTGTGATCATCATCAAATGAAGAAAGCATGTTGCAGCAATTTAATGTAAAAGATAACTGCTAGAAAATATAACATGGTAATTTCCCCAAAAAAAAGACAAAATGCATGGTTATAACAGCAAATTAACTAAGATGTAAATTGAACCTGGAAGGCCAGGTAATAGAACAAGTGATAGAGTTTAAATATCTAGGCATCACATTATCTAGCTACGGAAAGCTCAAAATGGAAGATCAAGTCAATAGAGCAAATAGAGCCGCATGCTGCATGAATAAAACAATATGGAGAAATAAAAATATCGGGAAAGAAACGAAAGGCAGAATTTACAAAACAGTCATCAGACCAATAATGAAATACGCACCAGAAACAAGACCTGACACAGAGAGGACAAAAAGGATGTTAAAAACAGCAAAGATGAAAACACTTGGAAAAATTAATGGTAAGACACTATGGGACAGAGCTAGAAATACAGATATACGACGTAGATGCAAGGTGGAGAATATCAAGAACTGGGTAAGAAATAGAAGAGTGGAATGGAAGGATCATATAAGCCGAATGACAACAAATAGATTAGTAAAGACGGCAAGAATCGGTTCCCCACTAGGAAGACGATCAGTAGGAAGACCACGAAAACGATGGAATGACAACTTACTGAAGGCACATTGAAATACAGTCAGAGTCATGTCTATATAAAAAGAAGAATAAGATGTTACTATTAATCTTTTGATATTAATCTGTTTTATTTTGGATTAATTCTTCTGCTACTGATCGTATATTATTCAGTACATTTTTATTCAAGAACTCTACTTTTGACATTTTATCTATTTGTTCAACGTATTCGGTAAGTTGTGTTAATTTTTGGCTTTTTTCTGTTTTATTTAGTCTACATTTGTCGATTTTTGCCTACTGTCTATGAGTTTTCTTCTTTCGGTTTCGGTATTAAGTTTTTTTAGGTCTTATACAATTGTGTTATCGACCCCGATAATATTTCTAATATCCTTTCGTTTCTCACTCACTCTAGTCTAGATATTTTACGTGACATTCTCCAAACATACATATGCATAAATTCCGTAGCAGTAAGTCGTTTTTTGTCATATTTTGCCCATCCATAGATTTCTGCATCATAGACTGTGATCACTTGATCGTATGTAGATGGTAAGTCGTATTGTAGATAAATACAAGAGGTAAATGTAGATGTTTCTTCTTATAATCTTTCAGTTCATAAGGTTTATAGAATTACGTATTATATACGTTGCCTCCATGTGCTATATTATCTGGGTGGTTAGACTGACACATTAGAAAATTAAAGGAAATCAAAAAGAAAAAAAAACAACATTAAACATTACAAAAGTATAATGAAGTTATTAGACAACTATTTTCAAATACAAATGTTATATAAAATAATAGAAGTTACCCTTGAAACCTAATTTTAATTTCCTTGGACGTACGTAGCAGTTGTAGCCCTCCTTTTGTCATAGTTTTCTTCACCCAAGTGCCAATCAAACCTTTGATTTAAATATATACATAGTTTTCTGTACATATTTTTAATTTCTCCTTGAACCTAAAATTTAAACAAAATTTAATATTTACGATAAAATAAGAAATCTCTTTCTAAAAGATATACTGAATGATCATCGATACATCTAATATATGAAGTAGGCAAATAACTTACACCTTATAAAAAATTAAAAATTGTGTGGCATTTAATTTCTCCCTAAAATAATACTACCAGTTAGTTTCAAAAAGGGATGACTTTGAAACGGTTGGTAAACGTAGTTTTTGTATGCTAGTACAAATTTTAGTTGTCAATATTTTACTCAATTTTGCCAGTACAAAAATTTTTCAAAACCATGTTCGTGGAAATTAAAAAAGCTACAATTTTATGTATAAACATTTTTTTCGTATCTCTAATGCTAATCTTTTTATTTTGAAGAAAAGGGCCATTTTTTACCAAACTACAAAAATCCCGTATTTGCTTTTAACTTCATTGTTTTAAACCAATAATTTTAAGTTGGCCAAACTTCCAGAATGTATAACAACACATAAATAAAGAAGACTGAAGAAGGCTTAGGGCATTATTGTCGCTCACTTTGTCATTGAAAAAATAGGGACCGACTTTCTTTAAGTCATTTAATTTTTATGCTATACTACGTTCCACGTTTAGAAAATAACATTGCGGAGATAGGGCCATGTATTTCTTATGGACGATAGCAACGCGGCGTTGCCACGACACACACAAGCACAATTTAGGGTTGTATAATTTGTATTTTTGTTTCCACAAACATGAATTAAATTAATGTTTTTTAACGTAATTGACCAAAAGTGCCCATTCGAAATAAGAAATGAAAAGCAGGGAAAATGATTTTAATTAGATAAATAGTATTTACAAATGATAATTTTGTTTTATCTTATTTTAATTATAGTAACTACAGTTTATTTGTTTTTCGGTGAGAATACGATATGCCATGAATAATAGAAATCAGTAGAAAATATTGACTGCTTGGAATGCGTATATCTAATTACTAATTGCAACTTAAAATAATACGATGTGCGTATGTCAGCTATTTTATGTCGTTCTCTGACTACATAATGATAATAAGGCTTTTATTTAGTAGTTAGTCTGACTTTACAGTTAAGTGTTAATTGAAAATGAAAATTCAAAAATTAAGCAAAGGGAATATCTTGGACATCCGTGCAAAAGAGAGTGTCTGAGAGTTTTGGCAACACTGATCTCCATAAGCGTAATGTTATTTTCTTAACTTGAAACAAAGAATAGACATATTTTTTAGAAAAAAAGATAAGTATTTTTTAATTCTTTAAATCAGTTTTAATGAGTTATTCTTGAAAACTACATAGTTCCTCGTCATTTGAATATGAAACTCCAAAATTTAGCATTCGACGAAGAAGAGCTAACCTCTAATACAGGTTATATACTCAATATATAACTCGGTTATAGCTCGGTTAACATAAGTCTTAAAGAGAATTAAAAAAAAAACGTTTTGGTTATTTTTTTAAAAGGTACTTAGGGTGTTAATAATAATAAAGGTGTTAATTATAGTTTTTTGATAAAATGAATAATTTTTGAGTTATTAGTGTAAGACTGATTAAAAACATTGATTTTTTCGATATAAACCTAACACTTTCACTAAAACCAATAATTCACCTAAAAACAATAATTTTTGAGTTATTAGCGTAAGACTGATTAAAAACATTGATTTTTTCGATATAAACCTAACACTTTCAATAGAGAGTAAATCGAAAACTGTTAATTCTATCAAAAAAATGTGTAATACATTTTTTGCTTAGAATTATTTTTTTTTACCTATTTTTGCCATCAAAATGTAATAAAAAATTTCTACCCCTGAGATGGTAAAATAGTAAATGTGCCTTGTGGCATCATATAGATTTTGATTCTTGGACCATTCACTACTTATTCTTAAATTTTCAAGTAAATCCTTCGTTTCCTGGACTATGCGTAGAAGTCAGTGTTCATTCCATACTGAAAACTCACTTTGTATAATCTTTTGATGTGTATTCTTACCTCTTTATTAGCATAACAGAAGATAATTGATACTACAATCCCTTGAAGTCCCTCCATTGTATACCGAGCGTATTCATATAAATCTTCTGCTGTGCAGGACTTGTCGTATACGATTTTATTAGCAGTGAGAATGATATGAAGTCCAAACAGTGGAATGAGAATTATTGTGGCTCTAAACGCTGCCCTGAAATGACAAATTTTATATGAATTTATAGAATTATGACATCAGTAATATGAGAAGATTATAGTACTTTTTTTTATTCTTTATTTACTTATAAAGCGTATCCACCTATCAGTCTATAGATAGAAAAGATCAATTAAATTAAAAAAAACTTACAATGAACTTAAAACTTCTGACGTTTAATTATATATATTTGTTAAAATTTTAAATTATTCAAAAGGATTTAAAAATTTATCAGAACGTATTCGATCCTATCGGACCATCTTCAATAAAAATATCTTAGAAAGTAATTAAAACTAGCTACATTGTACGGTTAAATAACCCTTATATTTCAACATGATAATCATATTAAATTTTAAAAATGTTGTGACACGGCGTCGTCGTTATAAGGCTTCACTTTAGGGAAACGTATTCATCCCTGCTCGAAAATAATTCGAGTTCAACGGTTGATGCCAGCCAGTATTTATGAAATGTTTTCCTTTCTGGTTTTCATCTGGTAACTTTTTAAATTAGAGAATTGCCTTCATTTTTTTGTATCCTATCCAACTTGGTATCTGTGATTTAATCAAAGAACATCTCAGTTCATTGCTTTACTAAGTTCCAGTTTTATTCTTCCAAATTTTCTATTTCTGTATTGAACTCTTTGTAACATTTTATGTAAAATATCTCAACTTCTTTTCATTTCTACAGTTTACAGTATGTAGAAAAATAATTTGCTATAGAGAGCAATTTACTGTAGTTATAGCCAACCTTCAGTAATGGAGAAGACACATTAAGAAGAAGAAAAACAAAAAAAATATGGATATTCCTGGATTTTTGGAGAAGTGTGGACAGCTTTACGAGAGACAGAAACAATTTGTCTTACAGTTTATTTAATACAGTTCTTACGCCAGCTCTTGCTACGCCCCTGATCAAACCTTTAAGGCGTTCAGAGCAGCGCTAGTTTGTCCAATAAATATATAAATGTGCACGGTGAAATAAATAAATGTTATACATTCATCGCGTTCTAGTGTTAGGGTTAAAAGGCTTTAAATAAATTAAAATAAATATTATATTGGTGTCATCTGTGGAGTATTCAAATAAATTCTGCGAAAAATAGCTAAGAAACTTATTGATTTAAAGGTGATCGATTCACGATAGAAATTGGAATTTTAAGAATTAAATTCTGACAAGAAAAAGACTGAATTGGTACACGTGCTGAAGGACAGCTTGAAAGAAGAGGGCTTTGGTCCTGAAACGTATGTGTTTGAGGGTTGTTCTTCAAAGTTGTAGTAGTTTTGGGAAAGTCCGTACCTAATTAGAGATAATTTTAACGATATCATCTATCGAATAAGCAAGATTCCGAGAGGAAAACTGATGATAGTACACCACAACCATGGTAGTTGGTTTGGAGTCAACATTTGTGAGAGGCGATTCCAGATCGTATATCGACGTCACGTTAGGAAACCGCCCGATGTGTCAAGGACTGGGCAGTACTGACGGGGTATACTGGCACGGAGCATCAATTCATCAGCTTCTCGATTGGCAAGACGGGGGATGTTGAGGGTAGACCCAAACCTTGCCTGTCGAGGTGCCGGAGATATCAGGTGGATTAGGGTGTATTAGATGGGAGGTACTTGACAAGGGCGAGAATACGTCGAGGCGCGGAAGAGATGAAACGTGTAGATACATCTTACTGTGCGAAAAAGAAGAAGTTGAATAGGATGATCCGAGCCCAGAAGAAGATGCACTGGAGGGGACTGTGTGACAAGTTGGACGAGGACATCTGGTATAAAGGGTATAAGATCGCAATGAAGCATTTCGACGTATGTGCTCCGTATGATGTGCCATTGGATCAGAAGCTGGAGACAGTCACCGAATTGTTTTCACAAGGACGGTGGCATGGTGTGCGAAGAGATGTCAAAGCTGAGCGTGGGATTCCTTTTACGTTGTATGAACTGACGGCGGTGAGTTGTCTAGATGATGTCCCGCCTAAGGCGGTTGTACGTCTGAACCGTTTGGAACCAACGTGGCTGCTGGAGCACATGAATGCTCTTCTTACCGTGCAGCCGTTTCCAGATTCCAAAAAATCTCGAGGCTTGTGCTTCTACCTAAATTCAAAGCAGGAAAATACCTTCCTATTTGCCTTCTTCCTTGTATCAGAAAGTTGTATGCCCGAATGCTACGTGCACGTATCGAGAAGGTGAATGTGATGCCTGGAGGCCTGTCTCTGAGACAATATGGTTTCTGCCAGGGTAAAAGTACAGTGGATGCCGTGACTGATGTGCATCGGGCGGCACGGGGAATAGGGGTTGATTATCATGGGTCATCCTGATTCTCTCATTCATCCGAAATGCTTTCAATACATTGCAGTAGGGTGACGTAATGAGCTCTTTGGAAGCAAGGAACTGTCCTGGGTATCTGAGGAATTTGGTCACTGATTATTTTTCTGAGAGAAAGATTGTGGTGGAAAATGGTGTGATGGTGGATGTAAGGGCTGGCATATGACGGGGTCTTAAATGGACTAAGGGTATATGATCTGGCTGCGCTGGGAAGGATAATGCTTAATATCGGTGGACCCAAACCAAAGACCACAACGTAGATGAAGAAGTGGAAATAAACCAATCAACTTGCCTTTATGCAGTCCTACAATACTTTTGTGAAAATAAAAACCATAATTTCAACTTTAAACAATTAATATTTTTTTGGTATAGATTTTTAAGAATTTATACTTTTACTCAGAATCAATTATAGTTTTACATACTTACATCGTCTGTTCAGTAGTACTTCCGTGCTTTATCTTAAGCACCATCACTCTTATAATATCACCTAATAAAGCAGAATTAATAAATAAAATAGCTATTCTGTAACCATCCATTATCCACTGCAGGTTGTTAGTAGACAACCAACACAATTTTGCGTTGATCGAAGCCATTGATGCTGCCCAGGCGATGCTAAATGCGAAAGTCAGAGCTGAAAATTAGACAGTGGCTATACGTTATTTTGATTAGAAAATGGTAAAAACTACATCTTTATATATAGATATATAGATCAGCTTAATATTTTTTTGAAAAATAAAAGATACAATATATTATGTTTTTCTGAACACTGGCTCAGAGAAAATGAATTAACAGCATTAAAGCTTGATTGATATTTTTTGTCAACTTTTTATTGTCGGTAGGTAAGAGGACATTGAGGTGTTGCAATTTTAACAGCATTAAAGCTTGATTGGTATTTTTTGTCAACTTTTTATTGTCGGTAGGTAAGAGAACATTGAGGTGTTCATTGAGGTGAAGCAATTTTTAGTGATAATAAAATCTCTGCACGGCCAGTTTGCTTAAATGACATATAATGTGAATATGAGGGTAAATTTTGTGAATTAGAAATTATAGATATTAAAACTATTTTAGTAACAGTGTATAGAACCGGAAATGGGATATTTAAAGTTTTTCTAGACCTATTTGAAAAGTTATTGGTGTTTTGGTAGTAAAATGGACTTGGCACGAGAGAAGCGATCTTTAGTATGCAAACATTGATACAGAATTGTTTAGATCAAAGAAAGGATGTTTTTATCTGTTTCATCGATTACGAGAAAGCATTCGATAATGTAAAACACGAATTGATGATAAAATACCTACAAGGATTTTTTCTTAGTTGAGGATATATTATGTTGTGGAATGCAGTTTTAGATTCCCCATGCCGCTAATTACATCTTTATCATCGTCTGTTTTGCCTTGAAATTCTTAGAGGCACAGATTAAAGCAGAAATTTGAATTTGGTTTCGACAATAAGATTCCAATATTAATTTATATTAAAATAATGTAACTCCTATTAATACTACGCTTACCTACCAATACTGTGTAGATATATTTCATTTTGACTTCCTTTGCAAATGCCCGTACAATCACTTTATGTAAATAAAAGGCGTCAAGAAGCATGCAACCATAGATACCATTAACAGCAGAGCTTTCCAGAAAAGTTAAAGCCCTACATACAATTCCGTTGTCTTCCATTATATGACAAGTTTCTTCCGTGGGTCTAAGAGCATCAAGGTATATCAGTTCTTTGGAAATAATCGTTAATATACAGCGTATACAGATTGCTATCAGTAAGTTCCTGTGAAGTACTACTCTAATAGTTTTTCTTAGTTTTTCAAAGCTTACAAAGATAAAGATGGCCGGCAGACAAAAAACAATACAGACGCTTAAAGATATAACGTGAAAGTTGTATCGTCTTCTGAAAACTGGAATTGTCGAGCAAGTTGAATAATCTGTGTCCTGAATCCATTCTGCTTTTTGACTTTCGTTGTTCCAGATGCATGACTTTTGACTTTCCACTGCAAAAAAAAAACAATTAATAACTAAATAGTTTTATTTGGTATATATATATATATATATATATATATATATATATATATATATATAGAGAGAGAGAGAGAGAGAGAGAGAAATAAATGACGTTAAAACTAGAAATACTAGAAATAAAATAAAAATGTTGGAAGTACCAATGCCAGGACAACCAATAGCTTTAATTAACTACAATAAAACACTAAAAACTTCGTTTTCAACACTTCCACAAAATTTATTATAAAATATTATCACTACAACTGTTTCGGCTGATTGCATTTCTCAAGTGATCTATCTTTGTTTTTTAATTTGTTAATTTCCATAGATTCTAACAAAGATAGCTTAAGGCCTTTATTTTGAATGTGAAGAATTTTACATTTGTCATTAAAAGAATGATTATGATCTAGAAGGTGAAGTGCGTATGTAGAATCTGATTTTCTATTATTGAAGCCCTTTTATGTTCTGCTATTGGTTTATTAAACTTTCTACCAGTTTGACCGATGTAAGTTTTTGGACAGTCGTCACATTTAAGTTTGTATACACCACTCTGTAAGTGCTTTTTATTTTGATTCTTGTTGTCTTTAACATATTTGCCTAAGTTTGCCTATATTTGCTTAAGTATTTTATTTAAAGGTTTTTAAAAATAAAGTATTTATTACGATGGAACGAAATTAACACAAAAAACAAATATCAAAGGTAGACAGTTACAAAAGATGCTCGATGTGGTAACCATTGTGGTTTTTTGGGTAACTTTTCTTAAAAATCGAATTTTTTTTTTGAAAAAAAAATTTTTCTTTTATAAAACAATTTTCTCTCTTATGCCATTTTAAACACCAACAGAGGAGTATTAATTCTATTTTGGAAAATTTTGGCACAAGGGCTACTGGTGAAACATCGCGAAAACAAAAAATTTTACCTTGGAAAAGTTGCGGAAACAAAATTTCGATTTTCCGAAAAACGCAGTCTTGTTCAAATAAATTTCCTTTTTTTTGCTTATAAGACATTTTTAGTAAACAAAAAGTCATAAGTCTAAATTCGACGGTCTATATAGACGGCTGTAAATAAGATTAAAATAGTCTTGCTAATATCCAATTTCTGATGGAGAGGAACCTAAAGAAGAAAATTCATGTAACAAGAGGATATTTTATATCAAGAAAAATATTATTCATCGTTTCAGGTTATACAACACCGTATGATGTGATTTTTATTTATAAAAAATGTACTTACGAGTACATATATCACTGTCAGCTCCATAATATTGACTACTACAAGGCATTTTGGCAATAGTGTTAACTTTCGTCTGTGGAAAACATGTCCAAGAATCCCAAATGGCTGGGCAGTATGATTTACCTAAAACATTCCTTAAAGTTTTCTTAAAACCAACTTATTGATATTCTTACTGGGGCGAATATTATCATCATTCATTTCATTTTGGCAGCAGTTCACAGACTCTAGATTACATTCCAAATACAACTGAAAAGCTGCGTCAGATGGAAACTGGTTTTTGATATAAGCCATTGACGTTTCATTTTCGAAGTCTAGTAGAACTGGTGTTCCGTTAACCTTTAAAAAAAATAGAAATGGTAACTAACGAATACAAGAGGATAATAGGAAAGAACGATTTTTAGTGGTGGAAGAAGACTACCCAAGTCCAGTAGACGTCGTGAAAATATTAAGAAAAGTAAAAGGCAACAGAGAAATCGAAGATATCGATAATAGTGCACTGAAGAAAATAATAATGTAATTATTCTACATCTACAGATATTCCCTAAAAAATGCACATTTTCCGAACAATTGGAAATATAGTTCTGAAGCTATTTTCTTCTGGCATTTTAAATTAATTACTATTTAACTGGGAATAAGCCACAATTCTCTACAATGTGGGCAGAGACATGACAGAGAACAGCTCAAGATAGGTAAAGATGGAGAGAATTGGGGGAGACTTATATCCAACAATGGAAGGATAGAGAATAGGTTAAAAAAAGCCACAATTAACGGTAAAAATTCGTTTATTGACGTTTTAATTTCAACTTTTGGATTTGAGAACGTTACCCGAAGTGGAAATTGAAACCTGAATAAACGTATGTTTATACCTAAAATTGTTCCTGTTCTAAACCTGTTCTACCAAAATTAAGGAAGGATGAAAGTATTGAAAAAAATCATTTACAAAATAATACAAACGTGCAGAAAGAAGAAGAATTATACAAAAAGACCAATTTGGATTAAGAAGAGGAAAAAATTTAGAACTGCAAAATCTGTTTTAATAGGAACCAAAAAACCATTCTAGACATCGAAAAAGGGTAAAGCACACTTTGGAAAAAAGCCCTTTGCATTGGCTTTTTTGGAAAGCAGTATAAATGTCGTTAAAGCCTTCTTAAGGTATTTTGCCTGTTCTATATGATATTGATAAGATCCAAAAGATCCATAATATCCACAATTTTGAGTAATTCGATAAGTACTTCATCAAGCCCGGGAGATTTACCACTTTTAGCTTGTTTAATTGCATATTCAATTCTTTTTGTATAATTTCAAGCCCAGTACCATCTTTAAATTATTTTGGTGCTTCTGTTTTGCCTTTGCCTTCAAAAAGCTATATATTGTGCCCATCTCCGAATTTTCTGGATAAGTATATCTGTTATAGGTACACCACTTTTATCTCTTAGTTGCCTAGTTTGAAATGTTTTTTATTCATGTTAGTTCCCTAATGCTTTTATACATGTTAAGAAAGTCATATATTTTTTTCAAATGCTTAAAGTTCTTGGCACTATTCATGTAACATTCTCTCTTTAGCTTATTTTATTAGAAAAATTCGCACTACACAGAGAAATAAAAAAAACGTTATCTTAAGATTAGATCAAAGATTAAATTTCACCAGGAACCCACAAGATGTCAAAAAAGCATTTACGACAAAAAGACTAATTTAAGCTTTCATTTTTAGGACCAGACTATATTAGGCCTACGTTAGAGCTGTGATGTTGTATGCAAGTTTGAAGTTCGGCAACAGAATCCAATCAGAAGAATCTAGAAAGAATAGAAACCACGTGTTACAGATTTATAGAGGAATCGACATGTCAAGCCAAATTTCAAATGCAACCGTCCAAGAAACATTCAGTACATACCACTGAGGGTAGTGGCCAAGAACAGAACAACATTCTTCTTCAACCAGGCAACAAGAAGACTCGTTAAGACCAGAAACATCCTCATCATAAATCGCATATGCCGGGGTTTCCAAACTGGGTAGCGTGCGGTCATGTCAAGGGAGGGGGGCAAGACAAGTCGAAAATTAAATTAAATTTAGATAGTCTTTATAAAATTATAAATTAAACATGATGTTTAGAAAATTAAAACAAACCACTGTAACATCTAACTTTACACATAAATTTGAAATCGAATGCTCGAAAGAATTGAATGTGAGTCGTTTAATGTGGCAATAGCGCGCATTTGACAACCTAGCGTTTCCAAGCACTGCCTCCCTCCTTCCCTCCCTCTACCAGACGCAGCTAACCACAGCTAATCGATTGTAAATTGTAACTCAACTTTTGAGATATCTCGGCTTAGCTAGCACGTATTTTTGCATTATAAAAGCATACCTGTTGTGAAATTTTAATTGTCGTAGTTGACTTTCATTGATTTCGTTTATTTGAATACTATTTAACTGGGAATAAGCCACAATTAAAGATAAAAATAAGTTTATTTGCGTTTCAATTTCCACTTCGGAAATCGTTCTCAAAATACAAACAGTAAATTAAACAAATTTTGTTTTTTGTTACATAGTGAAAAATTCTTCTAATAATTTAATTTTATCTGACTCATTTATATTGACAATTCAGACGTACATTATGCATTTTAAAGTAGACGACTTTAAAATGATATTGCCAATATTGTTGAGTTGCGCTCCTGGGATGACTTTACTTATAAGATAGTTCATTCGATTACATGAAATCAACTTTAACTTGAGAATATTTATCAGAAAAAAATCATAGCATGCAATTCGTCTTTAAAAAGACAAACACATGACATGATGACACTAAAATTCTCCTGTTAGTGATTCCATAGTAAATTATGAAGGAAAAACCGGAAAAAAACCTCATAATACTATCCCGACATGGTAAGTATTTGATCGTGCATTTAGTTTACCTTCAATAAACACCAAAATTCTGATTTTATATGTTTCGTTATTTAAAAAACATACATGATGTATCCTCTATATGTTACTGACTTACTAATACTGGTATTTTCTTTTTAATAAGTTCCTCTTTCAGTATTGGTAACCAGATCCTACTACATTCTACCGAGAAATTTGCGGCACAATTGGTCTCATTTAGCATAATGAGAGCCGCTTCTTTGATTTTTTTTTACCATCCGTTTCTTTTAGGACTACATTTGAATTATTCCATTGAACCCTATGTTCATTATCCCATGCGTGTTTACATATTTAAGATCTATCAAATTCTCTATTTTTAATATAAGATTGATGTTCACTTATTCTAACATTTGAAATAAAAACCTTGAAGCTCTTTAACTCAAAAATAATTGATTTTTAAGTCTTATGGCACTGAGAACTTTTGATAAGCATGACCGAAGCGAAGTCTCTGGCAAAGTTTCAGCCAATTTAACTGAATCCACTTTTACATTATACGTCACCTCAAAAAAATAGATAACTCGAAAATTTTTATTTTTGAAGTAAGTTTACCAATAGATGTAAATATCTTTATGTTATGCTACAACCAGACAATTCACAAAGTACCCTTTGAGTCAATATTTAACTTTATAAAACACCATTTGTTTAATACTTCTTCTTCTCTTCTTTGTCAACCATTTTCCATCCACTCCTGAATGTAGGTCTCTCCCAATTGCTTCCATCTTTCTATATCTTGCGCCAATCTAATCCACTGTTTGCCTGCCACTGCTCTTATGTCATCTACCCATCTTTTTGAGGTCTTCTCATGCTTCTTGTTGTCGTCCTTGGTTCTGTGTGGCCAACTTGTGACGAGCGGTTCTCCCTTCCTCAACCTATTTCATTGGAGACTGTGGGGTGTAAACGCGTGCCAAAGGTAGATCGCTTGGGAGGGGCAGTCGGCCGGGGCAGCTGTAGTGATGATAGTTTGAAATCATTTTTGTGGAAGTTTGAAAACAAAGTTTTCAGTGTTTTGATGTTGCATAAAATGAATTTCCATCAAATAACGGTCGAATCCATCAACTAAGAGTTCAGGTCTCTGGACCATATGTCAGGAGTGGCCGTATTATTGTTTTGTAGAGTTTTATTTTTGTATTTCTCGATATAATTGTGAGTTTAATGAGATTGAGCGCAAAATAGCATCTGTTGGCTGTGCAAATTCTGCGGTTTATTTCTGCGGTAGTATTATTTTTAGTGTTAAGAAACGCTCTCAGGTATACAAATTTGTTCACTGCTTCAATGACGTCGTTTTCTATAACAAGTGGTCGTAGGAGTTGTGGTTGCGTACTTATTTTCATATACTTCGTTTAGTTGGTAGCTGATTCTTTTAGTTCTACGTATGCCTCTCGTGCAGCGTTTTCCTTTCTACCAATAATAATATAGTAATCCCCAAGGAATCTACGTTCCTGTAGTTGGCTGTATACCATATATTAAAAAAATTATTAAAAAACCTTTATAAAAGGTATATATTTAAAAACCCCAACGGGCTAATTATACAAAACGTTTTCGGAATCCATATTACATCATCAGTGTCTAGGAGTACATGAATGTAGCCAGTAAATATATGGATAAAAACCCGTTAACAAATAATTAGTTACAATATTTTGCGCCTACATTATTTTGCGCCCACACCATATTTCGTCCACACCATTTTTCGCCCACACCATTTTGAGCCCACACCATTTTGCGCCCACACCATTTTGCGCCCACATTATTTTGCGTCCACACCATTTTTCGCCCACACCGTTTTTCGCCCACACCAGTTTTCGCCCACATTATTTTGCGCCCACACCATTTTTCGCCCACACCATTTTGCGCCCACACCTGTTTTCGCCCACACCATTTTGGCCTACATCTGTTTTAGCCCACACCATTTTGCGCCCACACCATTGTTTGTCCGCACCATTTTTCGCCCACACTATTTTGCGCCCACACCATTTTTTGCCCACACCAGTTTTCGCCCACATTATTTTGCGCCCACACCATTTTTCGCCCACACCATTTTGCGCACACACCTGTTTTCGCCCACACCATTTTGCGCCCACACCATTGTTCGCCCACACCATTTTGCGCCCACACCATTTTGCGCCCACACCATTTTGCGCCCACACCATTTTGCGCCCACCTAATTTTGCACCCACACAATTTTGCGCCCACACCATTGTTTGCCCACACCATTTTTCGCCCACACTATTTTGCGCCCACACCATTTTTCGCCCACACCAGTTTTCGCCCACATTATTTTGCGCCCACAATATTTTTCGCCCACACCATTTTGCGCCCACACTTGTTTTCGCCCAGACCATTTTGCGCCCACACCATTTTGCGTCCACACCATTTTGCGCCCACACCTGTTCTCGCCCACACCATTTTGCGCCCACACCAT